GTGTGGATGATCATGGCAATCCCTATTTTGCCGATCATAATACGAAGACAACTACCTGGTATGATCCTAGGCAACGTGAGTATATTATGATTTTGTCCTTGTGCAACGTCTCGTTCAGCTGTACCTGATGCTTCTATGAGAAGTCGACAAGGGTTCAATGAGGAGCAGAGCTACTATCCACACGGTCAAAGTCAATCACAACAATCACAACACTTTTTGCCAGCTCCTGTATGTTTTGATTTGTACTTCTTGAGTTTGAGCATGACCTTCAGAGTGATTATAATGCATCTACATATCAACGGGTACAACAATTAGAAAATGAAAGAAACACATTACAAGAACGACAAGAGCAATTATTGAGATCGGTCAGTTCTTTCGTGTTATTGCTTTGCTCATAAGAATGCTTCAGGGTTTGTTGGACAGTAGTCCTGCGCAGTATGGTAATGCTCAATCTCCTCTGCAGCAATCCAGCAGTTTTAATATGGTATTCTATTGAGACTGCCTGAGAGTAGAGAATGTTCTAAATTATAGAGAACTCATGATTACCCTTATGGATCCATGCCCACTCCTAACCAACCCCAAAGCCATATGATGTCTTATTCGTGTGAAAACGAACACCCATCGGTAACTATTGTAAGCTCTCTTCTCTTTTACACCCCTTGTTCAGAGAATGAATCCTGGAATAGTGGATTCAGGTATGGATATTGACTATCCCTCTACAATGAACACGATAGAGCCTTCTTTCACTATATCGGTAAGCTTTGTCATTCATTCTCAGTCGAGAGTGAACAACGAGACTGTATATTCTTATTTGCAGGACATAAATCCTCATGAATTTGATAAATATCTGCATTTATCGGACAACCGTCCGTCAACAAGCGAAAGCCAACAGATGATTCCTCGATATCCGTAGTAACTGCTCAGTCAGCAGAGAAGTAACTCACTGCGTACCCAAACAGGGCTCTCCTCTCGAATATAAATTAAAATTTTCGAACTAAATCTCTTGCCTCCACCGATGTTTTACATTTTCTTCCATTTGAACGTTTACGACAGTAGTTCTTTCCATTTTCCGTTCGAACACTAATCTCTTAACCATGGGTTTCGAATAGTTCCGGAGCCTTTTCCTATTCCTGTATATAAGTGATAAACACACCTATTTCAATGATTTCTCTACCAATTGTTCATGTCTCCTTGATTGCTTG